TGATATCATAAAAAGAAAAAAAAAAAAAAAAAAAAAAAGAAAAAAAAGTAAATAATGTCATTAATCATAAGAATATAAATATCAAACTCTAGATATTCGCTGATAACTCTTTGTAAAAAAAAAAAAAAAAAAAAAAAAAAAATAAAGATCTTTTAGTATCGATTATGTTTTCCAAATAATCAGATAATATATTCGAAATGAATATCATAAATCAATTAAATCTATAATATATTAAATTTATAAAAAAAAAATTTTATTACGTGATAATTCCCATACCAATATCAAATTTGATATTGAATCTATTTAATTCAATATGAATAATTTAAATATAATAAATATATCAATGTATCTATCAAAGGATTATAAACAAATTCGTTTGTCAACAAATTTTTATCTGCGATATAATAAAATTTACGCAAACTTCATAATGAACTTAATAACAATCATCAAATTTAATATCCACTCGTATCTAAAAAAAAAAAAAGAAAAAAAAAAAAAAAAAAATTAATATCCATAATAATATTATCTATATATCTATCCGTCTGTCTCTCTCTCTCTCTCTCTCTCTCTCTCTCTCTCTCTCTCTCTCTCTCTCTCTCTCTTTTTTCTCTCCAAATTGAAGATAAAAGTTAAAAAATAAAACAAAGACTCCGTTTTTTCCCCCCACTTAAATAATTTATCACCAAACAATGCGCAATCCATCATAATATTAATTCAACGATAAAATCAATCAAATCGATCAAATTAATGATTCTATTTTTACAATATATGCAATTTAATTAATTCCAAAACGTATCTATCAAATTCCTCCGAGAATTTTTTTATCCCCGATAACAGTCATAGGACAAAAACTTAACACACATACACACACACACACATACACACATACACACATACACACATTGCATCGAAAGAAAATTGATAAAGACGAATGATCCACTTGATATCGGAGTAGATTAAAAAAAAAAAAGAAATAAAACAAGAAAAAAAAAAAATAAGGAATATCCCAAAAGCGAGAACTTATGCATTAATCATAAAAAGCAAAATGACATAATAAATTTATAAAAAGAAACAATCTTTATGTCTTTATATTCAACGAAAGGAAGAAAAACAAGCTATAACAAATTTGTTTTATTACATTTCTGTATATAGATCATGATTGAAAAAAATCAAAGAGAGAAAGAGAGAATAGGAGATGAGATAAAAGAAAGGGGTGAGAGTAAGGGCGATGGGGAGGTACAGGGGACAGGGAGAGAGAGAGAGAGAGAGAGAGAGATAGAGAGAGAGAGAGAGAAGAGGGAGAGAAAAAAAATCCAAAGTCAGAAGAGAAGCCGAAACAAATAAATGCTGAAAAGAGGAACAAAACCGACATTATGTGGCATTAACATACAAAGTATGTCAGAGCCAAGCTCCACAGGCATAACATAGTATCGTTGGGGTTCGCATTCTCTCTCTCTCTCTCTCTCTCTCTCTCTTCTCTCTCTTATATATATATATATATATCTTTCTCTCTTTCTCTTTACTAAAGGAAGAAGGAGCTAACACAGCGGCTACTCTTTACACAGAACAGAACTGAACGAATAAGAAGAGAAGAAGAAGAAGAAGAAGAAGAAGAAGAAGAAGAAGAGGAAGAAGAGGAAGAAGAAGTAGAAGAAGAAGAAGAGGGAATAGGTTGAGAAAGAGAAAGAAATATTAGAATAACGAACATTGGAAAGGGACAGTGCGTATGTGTGGAAGAAACGAAAGAAAGAAAAGGACAAGAAGAACGTTTACGTTATATCCACTCCCTTATGGTCCCGTTCTCTCCATCCTTTCCTCATGTGGGCTCCTTTTACATTCCCTCATCACCCCACCAAATCCTCCAGTTTAACTCCTCCATTCCCTCTCTCTCTCTCTCTCTCTCTCTCTCTCTCTCTCTCTCTCTCTCTCTCTCTGTCTCTGTCTCTTTCTCTCTCTCCCTATCCCTCTTATGTTCACTGCCACGCGGTGCGGCTTAAACGCAAAAGGGAGACCCAACGGCAGGAAAGGTACAGCAATGTAAGAAAGGGAGGAGGATCAGAACAGCAGCAGAAAGGTAGCAACCAATGTAGGGAAAGGGAGAGAAGATTCTGAAGGTAGCTGCTGTATACCTGTAGCTTCTATGGCTGTTGCTGTAGCTGTTGCTGATGCTTGCTGGTGATCCTGATGATGCTGATGCTACAGCAACTGCTACTAACAAAACGAAAACTTGTGCCGCATATATATATATATATATATACATATATGTATGTATGTTTCTATGTATGTATGTGTGTATATATTTTGAACGGCGTCTATGATGGTTGAACACACACATGTATATAGGATTTTTTCTTTTTTTTTTTTTTTGTTTTTTCTTTTTTTCTTTTTCTTTCTTTGAATTTCTTATTCTTATTGTATTCGTAGTAAGCGTAGAAAGAGACATTTCTTTCTCATATTTATTATTTTTCAATGGGTGTGAATGATATAATATTGTTTTGTCATTGGACGATATACGTCTTTTGTACTTTTGTTTGTTGATACTTCTCTTTTCTTTTCTTTTCTTTTCTTTTCTTTTCTTTTTTTTTTTTCTTTTTTTTTCGGATAATTCTTCCTTTCTACTTATTACTTTTAATTTTAATAATAATATATGTGCGTATGCGTGTTTATGTGTATTTAATATATTATATAAATTATTAATATTATTCTCTTTCTTTTTTTCTCTTTTTTGTTTTTTTGTTTTTTTAATACAAAAAATTTCTTTGATCTTTCAACTCATTTAATATTATCTTTAATGGATATATCAAATTTTGTTAATTTATTTTAATATCTTTCTGCAAATTTTTTCTGAACTTTTTAATTTAATAAGAAAAAATCTTTTTTCCCTTCTTCCTTCTTTTGTCATTTTAATATCTTAATAATATTAATTATTTATATTAATTAATATAATATATATATATATATATATATATATATATATATATATATATTTAAGTGACAAAATTTTAATATTATAAAATATTTATTTACTTACCATGCAAGGATTAGATGAAAAAAATTCAATGCTTGGAATAAACGCATAAATGATTACTTGGTATTCTTCTTACTAGCAATGATTATGAAATACCTACGAATGATCAAATTTATTAATTTATTTATCAATATATTCCATTAAAGATATATGAAAAATTTTCTATACTTTTGTTTTAATATCAAAATTAAAAGAAAAAAGATTATTTATTAACTCTTATCATTCAAAGATTAGATGAAAAATATCACAAATTTAAAATAGAATTATAATTATCGTTGAATCATATTTAAGTGTATCACACAAACAATACTAATCAATGTCTTCTCACTTTTTTTTTTTTATTAATTTCATTTGAACATTTATATATACAATAAAACATATTTCTTATCTACAATCTATTATTTCACAAGTTTTAAAATAATACATCTTTGATGTATATTAAAAGTTGATAGAAATGATATAAAATTATATTAGATCATAGTGCTTAAACAAGTTGAAAAAGATTCACATTAAATTGTTTATATATATATATTTTTTTTTTTTGTGATATTTCTATATAATGTTAAATCAGAAAAATATGTTTATTTTTAAAAATGCATTTTGTCTTTGTGTATTTACATTCTATAAGTACAACTTATGCTGCTGCTGCTGCTGCTGCTGCTTGAGTGCAAGTACTGAGAATACATAGTATTGTGTATACATATATACACACACACACACACATATATATATATGTATATATACATATATATATACTTCTAAAATTATTTTTCTTTTTATATGTACTTTTTTCTAAACATTAAGTAGCATTCAATTAAACCGCATTTATATATTAAAATATACATTTGTGATGTACCCACATTTGTGAAATTAAAATACGTTAAATATCATCACCGATCATTATCTAAGTCATTTTCTATAAATAATAATTATTAATTACGGGTCAATAATTTTTTAATATAAATTAAGTATCCTTTCGAGGTTAATATACCACGACATTTAAGATGTATTTGATATTTAACAACCCAATGTAATGACACCGGTAAACCAAATATTTCCTTTAATACATCTTCTGGTAAAATTTCTACAAAAAAACAAAATTATGTTAGAGATCAACAAGATAATAATAATAATAACAACAGTAATAATAATAATAATAATAATAATAATAATAATCTATTTATTGTATATATTTATTAATAATATTTACCAGATGGATCACTGTGAGTTAATAATTGTACATCATTTGCTTTTGAAAATTCTTGTAAGGCTGGTGGAACAACGCAACAGGTAGCTAAATTAATTTGTACAATATCAGGCTTAATCTGTATAAGAATAAATAATTTTTGTTTATATGGTATTATAAAATGAATATAATTTATTTATATAAAAGAAGAAGTAGAAAAAGAAGAAAGAGAAAATGTAATAATATCACTTACATTGGCCCATTGAAAAAGTTCAATGAAAGTATTAGTATTTAAATCGCTCAATCCAACGCTAGACAATTTTCCAATTTTAACATATTCTTCTACAGCTCTCCATAAAGATTTTAAAGACGTTAATATATCTTCAGAATCATCTTTAGTGCTATAAGCAATCACCAAGGATTCAATCTTATCCGTGTTCAAATTCTCAAAGACTAAAAGTTTTAACTTAATAATATTTATATATTTAAAGACAACACATACAGATATATTGTATATATGTACATTAATATACCTTTATTTAATGCTTCCTTTAATGTATCAGCTTCAGGAGATGAAACAAAAACTTTCACAGTTACTTTCAATTCTGCTCTTTCAGTATTTTCAATACCAATATCTCCAATACCATTCATCTATATATTAAAATGTTAACATTATCAGATATATATTTATATATATATATATTTATATATATATATCTGATAATGTTATATATTATATAATGTTAATATATTAATATCTTATCTTTAACTGAGGATAAAGTATTTAAATATTGAGATAATCATTTACTTACAAACACAATGTTGTCTCCTTGATTCTCTTCCTCTCTCAGAATGATCTTTAATGTATCTACTAACTAGAAAAGAAGAAGAAGAGAAAAAGAAAAAGAAAAAAAAAACACATATCATTATTTGAAACCAAAGGATTTACATAAATGAATAAAATTGAAAGATCAATAAACATAACCTAACAAAAAAAAAAAGAAAAGAAAAAAAAGAAAATTAAAAGAAAGTATGATAGATTTATTAAAAAAAAAAAAATAAATAAAAATTAAAAAAAAAAGAACAATATTATAACATATTGAAAAATTGTTTTTCAAAAATAATAATTGTTTACTAACCTCATCTCTCGTATTTTGACTGGCCTTTTTTTTAGCTTCATCTAAAGAAAGTATATTGCCAGTATTAATTAATAAATTATGAGACATTTTAATTGTTTAAACAAGTAATATTAAAAAAGATACAATTTTTTATCTCTCTTGTTTTCTTTTTTTTCTTTTTTTCCTTTTTTCTCTCTTTGTCCCTCTCTCTCTCTCTCTCTCTTTCTTCCTATCACTTTTATACACTCTCTCTTTCACTCTATGTAAAGTATTGCGTGATATTAGAAAATATGATATTGACAATTACGACACTCGACAGATAAAGAAAATCTACTCTTTAATGAAATGGTATTACCCAACCATTAATCATACATGATAGTTCTTTTTCACAAGTTATCAAGTACAGAATGACAATTCAATTGTATCATGTGCAAACAATGAGTTATTCAAATCTATTACGTCATACTATAGATATTATCTATGATATACGATAAATATGATGCATTGACTGATAAAATTATTTATTGAAGTTAATTATTAATATTTAATAATGTTTAATATTTGGAATCTTATAATTGATGATAGATTTAAATAATGAGATTATTAAAAAATTAAAAATAAAATAATAATAATAATAATAATTTACGAATGACTTGTTCTTTGAAAATTTCTTACATTTTTATTCTATTTGTAATAAGTGATAAATTATTTAAAAGAAAAAAAAAATATATATATATATATATATATTAATTTTGACGAAACCATAATTATCGTTATAAAGAAAAAAAAACAAAGAGATTCTAATTTTGTCGTAAATAAATAAAACAAATTATTAATTATTAAAATAATTATGTTATTTTATTTATAGAAAATTTCTCTTACGTATGGTTCGTAGAAAGAAAATTCAAATTTCGCGGAATTTTTGTTTCACGGACACGCCCATGAATAACAATAATTATTATAAATAAAACGATGAATTACATTAAGAGAGAGAGAAAGAGAGAGAGAAAAGAAAAGAACAATCTTTCTTAAATTAAAATATCATAGATTATTCCAATTAATTAATAAATACAATATTTTTCATATATAATCACAAGAAGAAAATTGAATTTCGCGGTATTTTCAATACGAAGAATCTGATTGGTCAGATACAAAATAAAATAATTTTCATTGGTCAATTCGACAAATGAATTGTCATTGTTCTGTTTTCAGCCATATAACGTTCTAGAATTCTATAAAAACAAATCGAAAACGAAAAAATCAGTTACAGTGTTAACAGTTAAACAAAATGTCAACTCTTTAAATCAGTTAAACCACGACGTTAAAACGGTGATAAGCAAAAGAAACTGATATTGATTATCATTATTGTATCATCAATTTGACATAATCATCATTTGAATAAGAGTGTCTCCAGGAGTGTGTTATAAAAGGAAATAAATAAATTTAAAAAAAAAAATTAAAAATTACAAAAATGCCAATTGATATTCCTGCATTTGCTTATGCCGCGACTGTTGCCGGTGGTGGTATTTTAGGTTACGTAAAATCACGTAAGTTTATTATTATTATTATTATTATTATTTTATTACATACACACACACACACACACATATTACATACATATATATACACATATAATTTTATTATCAATATTATTAAATGGTTTCTTCCTGTTATGTACTATTAAGATAACTACGATAAGAAAATATATAAATAAAGTATAAATATTTTCAATTAATATGATACAATTATTATCATTCTTATAAGTACTTACTTTATATAGATTCTATTCCGTCACTTGCTGCTGGATTGATTTTTGGATCTGCACTTAGCTATGGAGCTTTTCAAACATCTGTGGATCCAACCAACATTGGAGTTTTATTAGGAACAACTACAACGTTAGGTGGTCTTATGGGATATCGTTTTTATAACACTGGAAAGATTATACCAGCTGGAGTGATAACAATATTGAGGTATATATGTACATAAATATATACATATATATATATATATATATATATATATATATATATATATCATTTATTTTAATATTGAATTAAGATTAAGTAACATATTTTGTTATTTTTATAGCGCTGCAATGATAGTAAGGATAATCACAAGATATTTTTCACCACCTGTAAAGGCAGATTAAACTATAAGCATTCAACAGATACACACACATATATATATATATATATATATATACATATACCAATATAATAAAATCTCAAATGTAAAAAATATTGTATTAGTTCCAAAGTATACATATATATATATATATATATATATATATATATATATATATATGTATACTTATTTATTTATGTAATCATTGCAGTAATAATTTCAATGTATAATTACTTAGAATATTTTTATAGAATAAAATTTATGTAAGCATATTCCTTGCTATCCGATAATAAAAATAATAATAACAATGATGTTGATAATAATAATAAGAATGTAATTGACCAATCATATTGCAGTATTTAGTATCGATTAAATACGAAGCAATCCTATTGGTTAACATATGACGTAGTACAGATAATAAAGAAATCTGATTGGTCGATGTAAGAAAAGGTTAGAATATTGTTGGAAATATCGAGAGATAGAAATCTCGAACGTGCGATTAATCGATTATATTATTAAAAGAACGTCTTTACGAATCTTCTTCGTTCGAGGCTCATTCTTAATGGTGGTCGTGCGTCCGGTTGGATGGTAAATTCGTGATTCACTGTGCATGCTTTCCGTTAATATATATATCGAAATATAGGAAGTTTATTTGTAATAATACAGGATCCATTAACGTTAGAATGTTCGTTCGTGACGCATAAGCTGTTACGAACGTTTAAACGAATGTACGCTTTCGATATTTTGTCGAATAAGACGTTCGCGATTCAATACCGTAAGCACTGGTCGCCGTACGAACGAAGTTTTCATACTTTTCGAAGGTTCTGACTGATTTTTGGGATCAAGTCACCGAAAACTTCCATCATTCCGTCAATAACCGAGTGCCGACCCGTTGGGTGGCGATCGTCCGATAAGGTATGTTATTTTATTTTTACGTAGATATATATATATATATATATACTTTTTAATGAATTTATTTTTATTATCTTTTTTTCCTTTTTTCCTCTCTCCTGTTTCCTCTCTCTCTCTTCTCTCTCTCTCTCTCTCTCTCTCTCTCTCTCTCTCTCTCTCTCTCTCTCTCTCTCTCTCTCTCTCTCTGTCTTTCTCTCTCTCTCTCTCTCTGTCTCACTTTTTTTCTCTCTTTCTCTCTTCCACGTAACGAACTCACTCTTTTCTTCTTATTTATCTCTTTTTCTTTTTTATCTCACACAACGATGGAGGGGTTCATTGTTACGTCAAAAGTGTAACGTATGATCACTTTTATAAGACATGATGATGATGATGATGATTCATATCACATGATATATTTTCTTATCTTTCATTTGTATATAAGAAATTTTTATTCTTTCTTTTCCTTTTTTTTTTTTTTCGTCTCTTTCTCTCTCTCTCTCTCTTTCTTTCTCTCATTATTTCGCGATTGTATATTATTGAAAAGGTCACAGATGTTAAAGAGTATGGTTCATTCTGCGTACATGACAAATTTTAATATTTATAATTCTTTGTCATTGTTAATTCTATCTCTCTCTAACTTATATATATATATATATAAAATTTTTAATTCATCTCGATTATCCTTAAATATAAAAAAAAAAAAAAAAAAACAATATCGTTTATCGTATCGACGTCAGATAATTTTTTTTTCATTAATTACAAGTATCGTATTTAAATCATTAAAATTGATTATTTCGAATTAACATTTAAATTCTACGTAATTTTGAATTATTTATAAATAATACCGATCTCTTGTGATTATTATTATCGAATTAACGTGTTAATAATTTATCGTAATATGTAAGATATTGAAGATTATTAAATATTTAAATGATTGAATTTTTCAAAAGAGATAACCTTGTTCTTTTTTTTCTTTTTTTTTTCTTCTAATGATACAAATCATTTTCATTCAATTAAAAAAGAAATATCATTTGTATATTACTTTCTTTACAAATTATATCACAGTAAAAACTTAAAAAAGAAAAAAAAAAAAAAAATCTTTTCATCATCCTAATTAGATTTCTTATATAAAATTTGTTGAATTTAATTTTATACTCACAAATTATTCTAATTCAATTATAAATGTTATAACTATATATATATACTTTTTATGATTTATATTGAATGAATGTTAGAAATTTCTTTCATATGATCTTTGGAATATTTTGAAATTTGTTTGGATGAAATTTCCAAGAAATATTTTTCATCTTAGATATATATATATCTCTCTCTCTCTCTCTTCCTCTCTCTCTCTCTCTCTTTCTTTCTTTCTATCTCTCTTTTTCTCCTTCTCTTTTTCTCTCTTAAAAACTAAACATTCTTTGTATTTAAAACATATTCATATCTGTTCAATGATTAAACTTTTATATATTTGTATCTTGATAAGATGACATTTATGGAACAGCTGCGCATATATCTTTGACTTTTCTTGATCTGACGGTATCTCATTTAGTCTGATATTTTCCTTTTTCCAATTAGAAATACAATTATTATTAGTTGAATTATTACAATATTATTATTATTGAAATATTAATACAATTATTAATTGAATGA